CAGCTGCAGGCGGCAGGCCAGCGCCAGCGCGCAGAGCTCGCGCAGCACGCTGCGGAGCTGCGCCGCCGAACCTCGGCCCTTGCCGGCAGCCAGAGCCAGAGACAGGTTGTCCACCAGAAGCACCAGGCGGCGCCCGAAGGCGCCCCGCGATCGCAGCGCGTGCCGCAGCGAGGCGGATAGGGCCAGCCCCTCTGTGTAGTAGATGTCGTGCTTGTCCCGCCACGGGAAGGACATTGCAATCTTCCAGCTGGGGTCCTGCATGAAGGACGCCGGCACCTCGCCGAACTGCTTGTCCAGGTCCTTCGCCGCCTCGCTCGGCAGCGCCGCGGGCCGCCGCAGCATGGCGGCCACCCCCTCGCCCTCGAGCGCGTGCGTGCGGGCGGCGATGGCCTCATCGAAGTGGTACCGCCAGCGCTCCACGGTCCGCCCCAGCGAGGCGGCGGCGCTGCCGCTAGCCTGTCGGACGCAGACTCCGCCGCCCCACGGCGAGGCATCGGAGGCGGAGACCTCCGCATGCCACGGGGCTGCCAGGTGCGCGGAGAGCAACGGCAGCAAGTTCCGCAGCGTGCGGAGCTCCCAGCGCACCGAGGCCCACAGGGGGAGGGCCTCGTCCCGCGCAGCCTGGCAGAAGCGGTAGCTCGCGTCGAAGATGGCGAGCGACGGCCGGCGCAGCAGCATGACCCAGGTACAGTGCCCGAGGAGGACCTCCACGATCTCCCCCCGCGCGGACCCCCGGGCCAGCAGCTCGTCGATCGCATAGCGCACTCGCCAAAGGCGCTTCGGGGACACGCGGACGCAGTGCGACGCCCCGCACAGCTCCAGCCCCACGAACGAGCACCTCTTGCTGGCCCGCTGCTGCTCGTGCACTGAGAAGCCGAGGTTGACCAGCTCCGACTCCACACGCGCCGCGGTGGCGTCGACCTCCGACTGGCTGGCGCCGAGCACCAAAAAGTTGTCCACGTAGGCGGCGGCACCCAGGCCGTCCTGCTCCCCCAGCACCAGCCCCTCGCTGCGGTCTCGGACGTGCCGTGAGACTGGCACACCCGCCCGCGCCAAGGCGGACTCCGTGACCATCTGACACAGGTGCATGGCCCAGCTCCAACCCATGGGCAGGATGGTGAGCTGAGGGGTGAGCCACTCGCCACAATCCACCGCTGCGCCGCCCAGAGAAGTGACCCCCACCATGCCCGCGCGGACTCGCCCGAGCTTGAAGAAGGAACACAAGCCTGCTGGGATCCGCATCGCGTAGAAAGCGTTCTCGATGTCCCCGCAGGCGAAGTACAGCGGGGTGGTGGCCTCACTCTCCAAACGAGAGAAGGATGCGGCCGACGGCAGCTCGGTAGCAGGCGCCGGTCGAAAGTGCAGGTTGACCAGCCTGGTGTCGAAGATGAGCCTCTGGCGGCCCCCCTTCTTGCGAACCGTGAAGGCCCCCAAAGTCGGGGCCTTGCCATCCCACCTGCAAAACTGGAGCATGCCACGACGGTGCAGCTGCTCAAGAAACCGTCCGTACACCTTGGGGTCTCGCAGCCCAGGATCAGAGTAAGGAGCACGTAGTCCCAGTTCAGCGCGAAGCTGAGCAGCCTCCTCCGGGCTTCGAAGCATGTTGGCCTCCCAATCCGACAGCCACGCCGCGTCGGCCGGCTGGAGGGCGGACTCGAGGGACACAGGAGCCGTCCCCTCTGCAGGCCAGGAAACTTTGTCCTCGCTGTAGGATGCCAAATCCGCCCGCTCCATACCGTACACGGGGCAGGCGCCGCAGAGCTCGCGAAGGCTCCCGCGGGGGCACACGTCCTCAGGCGGCCCCGGGAAAGTGGTGTACTGTTCCCGGATGTGCTCGAGCGCCATGTGCTGCAAAACTGAGGCACGACGTGGGCGGCTGCCGCTGCGTCCTGCCAACTCGTTGAGCGATCCGATGCCGAGGTTAGCCCACTGCAGTGAATGCACCAGTCTATCCCGACGGCGTCCCACAGCACGGCAAGCCGGTTGTCGGGCAGGCAGATCACGAAAAAGAGGAAGGGGGAACACATCTCGCTGACGACTGGGGCCCATGAGACCACAGGAGCGCGATGCTCAAGCCTGGAGGAGCCAGTGAGGGTCGGCTGAGCTCCCTCACCAGCGGGGCGAAGGGACGCCCCGTTCTCGTCACGTCTTCCCCTTCTTGCCGCCGCCGCCGCCGGGGCCACCGCCCCCGCTGCCGGCTCCGCCTCCGCCGCTGGGTGCGGCAAGCTGCCGCTCCTCACGCGCCTTGCGGCGCTCCTTCGCGATGCTGCTCTCGGCCTGCAGGCGCTCCGCCACCCACTTGGTGAGCTCTGGACTGACCATGAGGCCTCTCGTCGAGCCCATGTCGGTGAAGAAGTACCCTTCGTCCTGCTGGAGCCCGCCTCCCCCCCGCTGTGACAATATCTTGTCCTTGTACTTCTCCTCGCACAGCTGGAGCTGGCGGGCCACCAGCTCGCCGCATGCGGGGTTGGCGCCGTCCAGCTGGTCGTAGGTGCACATGGTCTGCATGAGCTTGCTCAACTCCGCGTGCAGGTGCACCACGGGGTCATCGCCCCCGACGGAGGCTCCCAGCGACGCCTTCCACGCCACGTGGTGGCCCATGGGGGTGCCCCCGTGCTCCATCTGGTACTCTGCCACCCACTGGAAGGTACGCGGCCCTGGGACGGGCCAGTCAGGAAAACTGGTGGATCGGTTGCTCTGAACAGCTTCCCGAAACTCTCGATATCGCAACCCCTGTCGATCATACCGCACAGCAAGGGTCCGTAGATCGTCCCCGCCTCGCTCGCCCCCCACAGCAGCTCCAACGCCATCGCCTTCGACTGCACCAGGGGGTCCCCCCAGCGCGGCGGCGAGGCCAGCCAAGCCGCCCGCGGCGGGGGCAGGCGCGGCAGCGGCAGGGGCCCCTTCGCCCGCGGCCACCAAGGCGCCGGCAGGGGCCACGCCCGCGGCCCCGCCCGCGCCGGCTGCCGCGCCAGGGGCGCCCGCGGCGCCGGCCCCGGCGGGCCCCTGCAGGGCAAGGGGTGCTGCGCCGGCGGCGGCTCCGCCACCGCCCAGGGCGGCGGGCAGGCCCGCGGCCACGCCGGCACCCAGCAGCCCTCCAGCAGCCCCGCCGCCTGCACCCCCGCCTCCTGCACCGGCGCCCTCGAAACACGCCATGGCCACCTGCGCCTCCTGGAGCACCCCGACCATCTGCGGCGCGGTCGGGAGGTGGGCGAAGTCATAGTGCCCTCGTCCCCCAGGCGCTGCCACCGCCAGAGCTCCGACACCTCGAGGCTGCTTGAGGTAGTATCCCCGCAGGTCGGTGTTCGCGGGCGTGTACTCCTCGACATACACGTCCATGTCGGGAGTGAGCACAGAGAAGGCGCCCGGGGTGCGAGACGAGCCCACCAGAAGAAGCCGAGCGTGAAGAAGGGGAGGATCGACATCGTACTCAACCCAAATCTCGTCCCCAACATTCATCGATACTGGCCGCCTCCCCTCGGCACACGCGGGTCAGGCGAGCCTGGGGCCGCCAAGCCTGGCCTCGACGCGGGCAGGCCCGACGAACGGCTCGCGCAGGAGATGGCCCGGCGGGCCCAGCCCAGCAGCCCGCGGAAGAACTCGAGGGCGAGGAGCACGGCAGCCCCCACCACGAGCTCAAGGGCCGCGCGCCACCAGCCTGGCGACGCCGAAGCCCCGGTCCCGCAGTCGCAGCGGCACTCGGGGCAGGGGCTCGGGCACACAGGCGCCCGCGAAGCCAGGCAGTCGCCCAGCGCCTCCTGCAGCGTGCCGAGCACCTGCTGGAGGTCCCGCGACGCCGCGGCGCCGCTGTCCACCCCCGCCTCCGCGGGGCTGGCCCCAGGCGCCTCCTCCGGCACCAGGGGGGCGGGCTGCGCCGCGAAATGGCCCAGGAACGCACCGGCGAAATGCGCGATGCCCAGCCCGGCCAGCGCGCGGGGGCTCAGCATCTGGAGACCTTGCGAGAGAACTGAGCCAGACGGTTTCGGAGGATAAACCCTCGCGGCACTCAATCGCTAATGAGATGACAAGTGAGACACGATCCATCATCATCATCATCATCATCATCATCATCATCATCATCATCATCATCATCATCATCATCATCATCATCATCATCATCATCATCATCATCATCCCAGGGGAGCTTGCGACAGGGAGCGGGGCACGCTGAGCGCCGTCCAACCGATCCCCACCTCCACCCCCACTGGCATGGCCTTGGCCCCACCCGCCGGCTTTCGAGAAGGAACGCTAGGGGGGGCCAGCTCAGGGGGGGGAACATCTGGCTGGAATCGACGATACATCGCCGATTGATCGGCGATAGGCCTCCGATAGCGAATACACACATTCGTGGGCGGGGTGGGGCATCAGGCCCATATCGGCGATCCATGGGCGATTGGGTGCCGATGCATCCCCACACTGAGCCTATCCTATCCTCAACATTGCCCCTAAACTTGCCCCCCCGGGTGGAAATTGATGCTGCTCCCCTCGGGCGTCGCCGGACTCGTCCCCACCTGGCGGGGTTGGCTGGTGGGGCTGGTATTATAGGGGGGCAAAACGGTAGCGATACTGCTACTCCTCAGACTCCTCAGACCCCTCCCTGGGCGCGTTCTGACCAGAACCTTCAGGAGAATCCAGCCGCGGCGACGAGGTCTCTCCAGGACGAGCAGGGGCTCCGGCACTGGCAGATCTTCCCCCTCCGAGAAAACCATGGCCCAGCCGCTGGCCGGCGGCCTCTTGCGGCCCATGAACGGCGCGCTGCGGGTGATGCTTGACGCCGTTCGGCTCCAGCTCGGTGCCTGAGCACGGCCGCGAACCGAGCCGGGCACGAGCGGAGCGGCCGCGGCAGGCCTGGAGCGCCCTCGCCACGGACCGCCCGTGCGCCGATCCTGCCCCAGGGACTGGCGGCGAGCGATCGAGGCCGATCTCGAGCGGCGCGCTGCGGGCCCAGACCCCGGACGTCATGATTTTTTCTGCGACGTGGCCCCCCTGGAGGTCTGGAGCCCTGCGCAGGGGACCAGCTCTTCATCCCGAGTCGTTTGCTGACGGCCAACGAGGCACGGCGAGGGCCGCCAGGGGCCGAAAACTGCCAACGACCTCCCGCCGTGCCTTTGTCATGACCCGAGCGGCGTGCTGCTGGCGATGCTCGACGCCGTGCGGAGGAGGAGGAGGAGGAGGAGGAGGAGAAGGAGGAGGAGGAGGAGGGAGAAGGAGGAGTAGGAGGAGGAGAAGGTGGAGGAGGAGAAGGAGGAGGAGGAGGACGAGGAGGAGGAGGGAGGAGGAGGAGGAGGAGGAGGAGGAGGAGGAGGAGGAGGAGGAAAGCTCGGCGCCCGAGCACGGCCGCGGCCCAGCCGTGGCCCGAACGGAGCGGCCGCTGCGGGTCGAGCGGGCGCGCTCGCGGCGGGCCGCCCCTGCGCCCAGCCTTTGCCTCTCGGGGCCGAGCGGATGGCGATCGAGGCCGATCTCGTGCGGCCAGATGTGGATGCGAGAGAGTGGGGAGGAGGGGAGGAGGATTGGGGGGAGGGGGAGGATGCAAGCTAGGTGCGCTCGCGTCATATCTGACGTCCTACCCCTCCCTCCCATCCCTTACCATGGCGTAGATATCCTCTCTGTTCGCACAGGCGGACGTCGAGCAGGGCAATGATCGCGAGAGGGTACGCGATGCATGGTAGAGCACGGCATGGCATGGCGTAGAAGAGCACGGCAGAGCGGAGCATGCCATAGCATGGCGTGGCATTGCGCAGCGAAGAATTGCATCACAAAGCATTGCAACGCAAAGCATGGCATCGCACAGCGGCGCAGAACACAACACCGCACAGCATGTCATGGCATGGCGCCAGGTTGTTTGGAGGGTAAGTGGATCGTCTTCGAGAGGTCTGGGCTGGTCTGGAGTCGTGGCTACATGTCTAACTCCTTGGGCTCCCCGTACAGCTCCACACAAGGCGGGGCTGATGGAGAGCACCCGCTGGCTCTGCTTTCAACATCGCCTTCTCAAAGCAGAAACGGAGCTCCCGTTTGATATTTCCTGAAAACGACGACGCCCCAAAGTGGGGGGGGCTTCTGCAGCCCCAAAAATCAACGAATCTACACCGAATGTGGAATCAGTTCCGATGGTTTTTTTCGGGGGGGGCATTTTCTAGATTTGGGGGCCTATTCGGAAGGAAGGCCACCGCTGCAGCGGGAGCACGATTCGGAACGAGCGAAGCGCGGAAATGAGGCCATCGCTGCAGCGGGAGCACGATTCGGAACGAGCGGAAGCCCGAAAATGAGGCCAGCGCTTCAACAACAAAAAACAGGTCCCGGGAGCCCTGTGTTTGAAAACAATACGAGGAGGGGGGGCGGATATCTTCCCGACGTCGTCAGGGGAGAGTGGCGAGTAGTAGTCATATTGAGTAAATGTAGAAGGATAAGGGCGGAAGGGGACGGGGTGGAGGATCAGGGGAGAGTGGCGAGTAGTAGTCACATTGTGTAGCTGTAGGAGGATAGGGGGAAGGGGGACGGGGGGGAGGATAAGGGGGAGAGGGAGGGGGGCATACGTAGGGGGAGGATGAGAAATAGGAGGACAGGGGGAGGAAGAGGAGGAGGCAGGCAGGCAGGCAGGCAGGCAGGCAGGCAGGCAAGCAGGCAGGCAGGCAGGCAAGCAGACAGACAGACAGACAGACAGACAGACAGACAGACAGACAGACAGACAGACAGACAGACAGACAGACAGACAGACAGACAGACAGACAGAGAGACAGACAGACAGACAGACAGACAGACAGACAGACAGACAGACAGACAGACAGACAGACAGACAGACAGACAGACAGACAGACAGACACACACACACATACCTATGGGATGTTCGAGCCTGGTCAGGTAGCTACACTGGCAATGCCCATTGAACGGTCTACAATTTGAAGAGGAAGAGGTGGAGGAGGAGGAGGAGGAGGAGGAGGAAGATGGAGGAGAGGAGGAGGGAGGGTCGAGGCTCGAGGATCGAGGTTGTTGGGCGCTTTGGGTCGCTTTTTGAAGTTTCCGAAGCCTCTGGGAGGCGGGACATCCAGAGATCTCCAGAGAAACTCAATGCAGAGTTGGAGAAGCTCGAGGAGCTGAAGGAAATCAAAGAATGAGGGAGGAAGGGAGAGAGGAGAGGACGGGAGGAGGGGAGGAGGGAGAAAGGGATCGGAGGAAGGGGAGAAGGAATAGGGAAGGAGAGAAGCAGTGCCATGGAGGGAGGGAGGAGGGAGAACGGAGGAGGGAGATGCAAGCACAAGGGAAGAAGCGAAGAGGGAAGAGGGTGGATGCGAAAGGCAGGAAGCAGGAGGGAGGAAGGAGGAGACAGCAGGAAGGAGGCAGGAGGGAGAAGGGAGGAAACACGAGAGAGGAGGCAGGATGGACGGAGGAGAAAGGAACACGGATGAGGGAAAGGAGGTGAGGAAGGAGAGAACCCCGAGAGTAAGTCCCACACCTGCTGCGGAAGCCGCATCTCCCGCCTCGCCCAGCTGCAAGGGGGTGAGCCTGTGGATCCCGAGACTGGCAAGGACCAGAATCTGCCTTCCCCTCCCCACCCCACCCATCCCGCACCTCCTCCCCTAACTTCTCTCCCCTCCGACTCCTCACAGTCCCCCTCCTCATCTTCATCCTCCCCCCCGCCCCCCTTTCTCCTCCCGCTCCCGCTCTCTCCTCTCGCCCTATCTTTTTCTCTCTCTCTCTCTCTTTCTCTTTCTCTTTCTCTTTCTCTCTCTCTCTCTCTCTCTCTCTCTCTCTCTCCTTTGGCGATACCTTCACGCGGTGAGATCGCCCCCCCCCGCCCAGCCAGGACAACTGAATCGCCTCCTACAATCCTCCCGCCGGCGCGCGCCATGGCCCCTCCGCGCTCGCACCGCCGCGCGACCTCAGCACGCCCTCCAGCGGCTCAGCCGACTGGAGGCCCTCGACGCACAGCCCCGAGATCCGAGAGCAAACGTGTGAGAAAAAAACGCATACGGCGAGGCACTCTGCCAAGGCGGGGACCAGTACCTCTACATCAAGCACTTCTACCACAGGATCTTCAAGCTCTATACACTGGTACACACTCCGGACGTTTGCCCTAGCGTACCTCATGACGAACTACCTTGTGAACTACGCCCTGCTGGCCCTACCGGACTCCCCGACGACAAGCACTACAAGGCCTCCAAGATTTTCCTGACGCACAACGCGGACACTTCGTTCATGCCGACACTTTTCGGGTTGCACGTGTTAATCTCCAAGATCTTCTCGACGCACAACCTGGAAGCCACGTTTCCGACGCTGTTTGGCGGCGCGAAGCTGGTGCGTCACACGTACCATGTCCCGGACGAGCGTCCTGCAGATCTACTTCCCGCAGGTCCTCTTCCTGATGCTCGTCCTGACGGAGCCGGCGCGGGGGCCCACCCCCTCGCCGCCGCGCCCTCGCTGGAGCTCCGCTCCAAGCGCGGACCCCCGCCCGCGCGCCTGGCCCCTCCTTCTCGCGCCCCCGCCGGGGAGGGGGAGGGGGGCGCCGACGGCGACGACGACGCCAGCGCGCCGCGAGGAGGGGGCCCCCCGCCACAGTGCGCCCTCACGCCGCGGGCGCCCCACAGCGCGAGGCGCTCCGCGCCGTCGCCGCCGCCGCCGCCGTCGCCGTCGCCCCCCAGCGCCCCGCGGCCGGGGCGCCCAGCGCCGTCGCCGCCGACGCCCCCATCAACCTCGCTCGCCCTCGTCCCGAGAAGGTGTGCGGCGAGTGCGCTGACTACATGGGGCAGGGCCCCCTCTCCGCAGAGCGTCAGGCCTACCACTCGGCAGGCCCCTCAAAAAACTCAGGCCCCCCCCTCCCCGGGGACCTGGAAAAGTCCACCACAGCCGAGGGGGAAACAAAACCGTGCAACAAAGCGAACTGCCTGTCGTCTAGCTGCGGCACGCTAGTGCCATATTTGACCTCAAAGGCCGCTGGAGCACACACACACACACACACACACACACACACACACACCGAGCGTCCCTACCTCCGTCCTCCTGCCCCCGCGCGCCTCCAACGAGGGAGGGGGAGCGGGTGGCCCAGGCCTCGATGCCCACACCTGAGGGGGGGCGGACGTCCACGATCCGCGCCTTCAGGCGCCCTGGCATGAGCCCTCGGCGGAGGAGCGAACGCTGAGCCCGCACTCGTGGGGCATCCCTACCACGGCACACCACGTCCAGCCCCTCCCCCGACCGAACGCACTTATGCACCGAGGACCCGCAGACTTTACATTATCCCAGTGCGACCCTACCTAGGAGTTGGAGCATTTAGGAAAGCAACATATACATCTACACCGACAGCTACATCTACACATACACTTGCATCTAGATCTACAGGCGCATCAACCGTGTGACTCCCGCCCACATCTACATATACATATACACCTACATCTACACCTACTTCTACATAAGCATCTACATATACCTCTACAGATACATCCACATTTACATCTACACCCACAGCTACACCTACACATACATCGTCATCTACATATACATTTACACGGTCGCATTGGTGTTGTTTTTGCTTTGCATTGCCTGTGTGATAGTTATTGCCGTTGTTTTTTGCCTTGATATGATATGATGTGATATGCTATGATATGATATAATGCGCTATGTTATGCGACGATATAGTATGACATGTTATGGTACGCTGTGATGTGATATGATAGTGTATGCTGCGCTGTGCTATGCTAAGCAATGATATGCTGTGCTATGGTATGATATGCTGCGTTATGTTCTGCTATGATATGCCATGCTATGCGGAGCTATGCTATGGTATACGATGTTACGCGTGGCTATACGATGTTGTGCTATGCTGGGCTAATGCTGCGCTGCTCTATGCTGCGCTGCGCTAAGCTGCGCTACGGTAAGCTAAACTATGCTAAGCTATGGTAAGCTAAGCTGGGTTAAGCTAGGGTGGGCTGGGCTAAGCTAAGCTAAGCCAAGCTAAGCTAAGCTAAGCTAAGGTAAGCTAAGATAAGATGAGATACACCAAGCTAAGCTAAGCTAAGCTAAGCTAAGCTAAGCTAAGCCAAGCCAAGCCAAGCTGAGCTGCGCTAAGCTAAAGCTAAAGCTAAAGCTAAAGCTAAAGCTAAAGCTAAGCTAAGCTACGTTAGGCTAGACAAAGCTAAGCTAAGCTAAGTCAAGCTAAGCCCTGCTGAAATAAGCTAAGCTAAGATGAGATAAGCAACGCTAAGCTAAGGGGGCGTAGCTGGGGGAACCGCGGGGCGGATACCGGGGGAACCGCCCGGGGCGATTTCCACTGCCTGGCCCCTTTAAGAATGAAAGTAAGAACCCTCTAGGCAGAGCCTAGGTAAGGAAAAAATGGAACATCTGGCGCGGGTTCAGCCCCTTCAGCAAGGGGCACGACCGACGCCTTGACGACCGAGTGACGATTGAGAGCCCAAGGCGTCCCAGAGCACTCCTGAAGAGTAGGGCCCTCCTGACCTCCCGCCTCTGCAGCAGAAAGGAGGAACGAGAGGGCTGCAGCGGCGGAGGAGGCGGTAGGGAGGCCGAGGACACTGATCCCCCGACAGCAACCACTCCTGGGACCTCCGCAAACGGCTCCGCCCCCTCCTCACAAGCCGCACTGGCCAGGCTCTCCCACTCAAAAGGGCTTAGCTCAAAAGTGATCTCCGAGGTCCCAACAACCCCCTCAGAGTCGACGAAACCCCAATCAACCATCAACTGTTGAGCCCTCGCATGCCATCTCGAGACATCGTGGGCCATGGCCTCGACCCCCTGTACGAAGGCGATCTGCTGGGGGGGGACCGACCACCTCAGAGCACCTTTTTTTCGCCTAGCGGTCCGCCATCTGATTGCCGAGGATCAGCCAGTCCTCTTCCAAGCTGGTGGCCGAGGAGCTCGCACGATGCGCCTTGACCTTTACAACAGACGCCCGGTGGCCGATCCCCTCCCACCAGCGGACTCAACAGTGCCCTCTAGAATTCATGGGGTCGAGCGCCACGCCTGGATTCACCGCGCACTCAACCGAACCCGCACAGTCTGAATAAACTGCGAGGGGATCTTCTGCATTCCACTCAGAGTACCCAGCCAAGACCTGAAAGGTTCGATCCTCTCCATCTCGCGCCACCTGGTTGGGCGCGTAACTGAGAGGAACGACTCCAAAGGCGCCTGCGACCAGACGGCCTCTCTCATCAATCTGAACAATGGACCACCCAGCGCGAGAGAGCCCCGAAAAACGAGTGTAGAACGCGCTGCCGTCCACAAAAACGTTTCCCGAAAACTTCCAGCCCTCGGGAACCCCAATCCAAATGAGCTGGTCCTCGAGATTGGCCTCTGCAATGGGAAAGCATAGGGCTGGGGACGGGAACAGACATCGACCGAACATGTCCACCACTTCTGGCGCCAGTGGGCTCACTTTTCTGGCGGTTTCCCGCACATGTGGCGGGCACTCATCACGTCTGTGTGCCTCGATGTGCGGGCACCCGTAAAACCGATGAAACAGTGTGCCTGGTCCTCCACAAGTCAAGCATCGACCATGCTGCGCCTTGCCATGGCCAAAAAGTCGCGCTTGTGGCCAGTGGGAGCCACCCACCAAGCTCCGCAGCGCCGCCTTGTGATGCTGCGTCCAGGTGTCCGTAACACTACGAGAGAGGAGGTGATTGAGAGGCCCCCAGTGCAGAGCCCCCCGCCACCCCTTTTCAATTCTAGCCAGATCAAGAACGTCAGAGGAAACCAACGCAGCTTCCTTCGCACGCTCCGCAATAAATCCCGGCGTGAATTCCAGCATGGAAAACTCGAGGCCCTGGAAGACCAAAGAGAAGGTCGAGGGCATTGCAATGCCAATGCGCGCCATGCAAAGCAGCACAACCTGCTCAGGATCGATACAGTTAGCCCAGGGCTTGGCTTTGCCTAGGAGATCCTTACCAGCCACCCAGCAACCCTGCATGGGGCCACGCCCTGGCAGCTCAGAGAGGGCCGAAAGAACCCATTGCTTAGCCACTTCTACAGCATGCACAACCCAAGGGTCCCTGAAGGAGCCCCTGGGTGACACACGCAATCGAAGGCCTACCGATGTGCCTGCAGGGAGGCGGCCCTCCGCACGAAGGGCCGACACTCTCAACCCATGTAACTTGTGGTCTCATAGACCAGTGACCGCACTCCCCCACACCGCCGTCGCCGTGGGAGACCCCTTCTGAATCGTGCTGACCGCCGCGCCCGCAGCTCTGAGCTGCCGAACTCTCGCCGAGACTCTCTTGGCCTTGGCGATTCGTTTCTCTTGCTCCCCCACCCTCCGAGCCGACCCGTTATTAGCATCGGTGCCCAAGCACCTGGTCCCGATGAGTCGATCCTCATCGCCGAGAGACCACCTAGCGTTGAGCTATATTGCCAGCTCTACAGACGATGTTAGATAGCCAGTCTTATCCCAATTGACCCGCAGCTGTTTCTCCTGGAGCCCACGGACCAAGGCCATCATGGCCTCAGGAAACCGGGAAAGAACCTGCTCCGCAGTGCCGAGCGCCTGGAGCAAAAAAATC